CTGCCTTGGAGAGGAAATTGCGTATCACTCGGTTTGTTGATCTTGATTACCCGCAGGATTGATGCAGTACCATTGGATTCATTTTCAATAAGATCCTTCGTAGGTACAACCATGAATTCTTTTCTCCACATGAATTCGGGGTGAATGGCATAGCCAAGGAATAAACCAGGGCTCGATGTTGGGTCGAAACGAAGTCCTTCTTTATTCTTCTTTCTCGGACCATTCCAATAGTCGACAAGACAACCAAAAGGAATGAGGGGACCATCAAATCTCGATCCAAAACGTAATTCCCATGGTGATTTGTCCCCCCCCGTTGCAATGACATTCTGCATGAAGCACCAATGTCGGGCAGCATGTGGCCAGTGCCAATGATTCAGACCTGCTTGGAGCAGATTGACACGAGTGCCTTCAAGAACTGACCGGACTGCTCTCTCAGCTTGGGCGTTGGACTTGGATATGTAGTCCCTACTTAAGACATGACGGCACTGAAGGATTTTCATTGCTGAGATTAACTCAGGTGCATTGTCACTGTAGAAGACTCCTATCTTATCTTCATGTCCAACAAAATGTTTAATCGCCAAGATAGCAGCATTGGTGGTTCGCCTGGCATTGGGGTAGACATACATAAATCCTGTAGCTATGTCCTTCACGACGAGTGCACTTTTCTCATCATCGATCCCCAACTCATCTTCATCTCTGGTGACGATAAAATCAGCAGTGATGTGGTCACCAAATTTCTCAGCTTTAACTTTTGTTGATCCGCCTACAGCTCTTGAGGGTGGCTTGAACATCTTAGCTCTGGTACATATGTCGCAAAAGGGGTTCTTAGGGATGTGAGTCAGCATATGTCGAATAGACTTAGCTTCTTCTTTCAATTCCTTTTCCCCAAGTGACCTTTTGTGAGCACCATCATCATGGACGTTACTACTGCTACCCTTGGATCCTTCCACAGGCGGCTCAACCTCCCGGTCGGCATCAGGAACATCAACCTCCACAGCCTCCAAGGGCTGGGGCTCCGGTAAGTCAACATTGATACCCATGGGGTCATCACCAATGATTTCAATGTCCCCATCGGGCTCCGGAGATTGTTGAGCTTCATCTGATGCCGGGGTGGCAATGCTTGGTCTAGGCTGAGTTGATGGAGTGGAAATCGTCTTTGAATTATTTGCAAAGTAGGGTACGTAATCTCTGACAACTAACTCAATGCGTTCCCCACCTGGTTTGACCATGTACGGAGGTTCACCTTTGGAGCCTCTCCATATGAAGTCGTAACCATCATCAATGCATCTCATCCCGACTGAAATGACAGGAGGTGAGCTTCGAACAAGATATGGGTCAATGGTCTTGCCTAACTTTGGAACAAATACTTTTCCTTGTTTCGATGACGAACTTTCACCATTGGCAGTAATCATGCGAATGGGATTGTTGGAGTAGTATCCATAGTCATCTGGCAATTCGCTATCATTGACAAGATCTTGAGCACTCCCCGTATCTGCAATCCAGTCAAGTTCGAGGTTGATCGCTCCCTTCACGTCTTCTCTACATTCCGCAGGGGTGGCTTTGATTCCCTTTGGGATACATTCATTGCAACCAAAATCTGTGTCACATAAATAGGCACATTTGCATTCTATTCCCCGAAGACAATTGGAAACAGATCCTGCCAACATGGTACCGGTCAAAGCGGCATCATTCACAGCAAGTTGATCAACTTCAAACTGATGTCCCCATGGAAAGGTAACCTTATCCCTGGTGACTGCGTTTCCAATTGGCCTCAAGTTCCCTCGGACTTTAACATGAGATACGTCCGGTGAATCATCAAAACGAATCGATGGACAAAATACTCTTGGCTGAGGGATACAAAATGCCTGAGACACGGATGCAAGCATGGATGCAACAAGACAAACTGCGGCAGGAGACGGCTTAGATGAACTGGCCCCGGATCCTTTAGACTTCGGGGACTTCGGGCTCTTGGGGCTCTTAGAGCGGCTAGAGCTTCGGGATCCCTTCCTTTTCGGGTTCTTGGGATTCTTCTTTTTATTTTTGTTTTCGCTACTGGCCGAACGGGCAGGAGTAGCTTGTCTTGGTTTTCCCACTGAACCCTCATGAAGGAATTTGCAATCAGCTCCTCTATCGCAACGTCCCTGTTTCCAAAATTTGCAAATCTTCTTACCTTTCCCCTTTGGTCTGGGAGAACCAGAACGTTCATTTGAGCGACCTCTGGTTTTGCTGGGTTTGCGACTTCTATCACGTGGCTTGGGGACTTCATGCTTGTAAGTACAGTTGTCCTTGCTACAGCCTCCCTTATTCCATGCCACACAATACCCCTTGGGAATGAATCCTGTCTTGCCCTCGACTGCAGGAGCGGAGGGACGACCGGAACCCGAAAGACCTTTGGCAACTCGATCACGATTTGCCTCCAACCTCTCACGGTCAAGGTGGCGTCGCACGGCAGAAACAAGAAACTGTAGTTCCGTTTTTCGGTTCCTTCATCAGCTCTATGATACTCATTCATGTCATGTTGGATGGCCTTACAATTCTTCACTTGTTTGTAGAAGAGTGTTTCCAATACACTTTCGTCAGGAGCCTGGACAATACCAGCCAACACTTGATCCCAGTTTGAAATGAAAGACTTCAAATTCTCCCCACGCAATTGGACACTGAACAAATCTTGAAGGGCATAGGTTGCTCCGTGCTTGATGTTTGTACTGAAGTGGTCATGCAACATGAACAACACTTGTCTCCCTCTTACAATTCGTCCAGCGGTGGCTTCAGTCTCTTTGAAGGTATCTACCTTGCGGGCGAAGTCACCAGTGATAATATTGGTGAGTGCAGAAAGTAACTTTGCATCAAGTGTCGCAAACGGCGCAACCTTCCGGAGCGCTTCAAGAGTCTGATCTTCTTTCCAAGAATCACTAACCCACTTGAAAGCACTGTCGGGATCGGTTGATGCTGCTACAACTGCCTCTCTGGTCTTGATTCTCCAATTACGGTAGGTTTCCGCCAATGGGAATGCTGGGATTTTGATAGTGTCAGCTTCCTTGACTTTGGGTTTATCGTCATGCCTTTGGTCAACGTAACCACCAAGAAATTTGATCATTCTTCGCCTGAACTTTTCATCATCGTCATCATCGGGATCATCATAACCGTCATCACCACCGTCGGGGGGGTTTGGATCATTCCTTTTCTTTTTGGGAATCTTACGACCCTTATTTCCCTCCGGCTTGTCATCAGGTGGTGAGGGTGGTCCACCTCCCCCGTTCCCTCCGTTGCCATCTCCTCCATCCCCAGGATCGTCACCATCTGGCAGATCGTCTTCCCCCGGCTCGAAGTAGTCCACTTCATCTGGGCCTAGCTCGGTCGGGGCATATTGATTTGTCGGCGCAGGGGAATTGACGTTATCCATGGGATGGTTATCTCGGCGTCGATTATTGGCCTCTCCTCCCGAAGGGCGTTCCTCAGCGGAAGACCTTGCAACATCCGACTCCTTCTTCACTTGAACTGGGACTCGATATGATGGATCATGATAAATAATCTCAATACCATCCTTTTCATAAGTTTCAGTACCAGGTGAAGTAAAGCTAATCGGTGCTCTTGGAATAGGAGGTCGGGCAACACTCGTCGGAGGCGCTGTAGGTGCAGCTTTGCGGGTTGGTGGAACAAACTCAAAATTTGGGATCTCCGTTGGTGCATGAGTTCCGGCTGTGATGGTCATGGCGGCAGTTTCAACAATCGGACTTGGACGGACCTGAGCAAATTGGGAATCGAGCATACTTTGCAGTTTCAGATTGTGTTGCATCTGGGCTTGTACCATGTGTTCAAGCTGGGTAATGCGCTCATTCTGAACCCTTCTCTCTTCCTCAGCTGCTCTTCTCAACTCAAGGATCTCTTGCTCCTTACTTGATAGTGATTGTCGATGGTTAGCATCAATGACACGTTGATAGGCTTGAATTTTCTCATTCATCTGAGCTTCACGGAACCTTACGTGTTCATGCGCCTCATGCTGTAAGTTCTCTTTATATTGGGCACCCGCATTTAAAAGTTCTTGTTCTTTGATTCTGATAGCATCAAGGGCCCTCTGACTTTCAATGCCCTCGCGGACTCGCAGAGCTTCCTTCAACTCCTCAGTCTTGGCTGTGTGGACGGCTTCGGCCTGAGCTTCGGTGTGAGCCAACACCTCACGATGACGGAGCTCGGCCGCTGTTTCCACAAGGCTTGTCACTGCAGGATCATGTGAATGGACATGCAAGTTCTGCTCGACAAAATTGACTTGAGGATTATCCATCTGCACATTGTGATGAAATGTATTGTGAACATTCATTTGGTTCAACTGGCGAGTCGGCGGCCCACCCTCCCGAGCGGCTTGGGGAACACAACCACGGTGGTTGAAACCCACATGGGAAGGCACAATTGCGTTACCCATGGGTGGGAAGTGGCGGCGTTCCCTTAGGCTTCGTGACTTATCGGAAGATGGTGGGGTGCTTATATCAAAATTAAATGGGGTGTTACTTATAGGCAAGTTACCGGGGTTGGCCATGGCGGCGTCAGAGGACATGCGCCCGGTGCCCTCGGTGGAAGAACCCGAGGGGGCAGACATTGCCTACAAAAGAGAAGTTAGCTTACGGCTGATAACCTGTTTTACAGGCGTAACAGCCAAAAGACAACAGCAATACACGCTTGTTTTCTTGAGCCAATGCAACACGGTAGGATGAGTGATACATTAGTATATACAGTGAAACTACCCAAAAACAGTGATGTTAGTGCCCGGTTGATTGCGCTTGATTTCTAACCCATATCAAAGCCATATAGAACTGGGACATGGTATTCCCTGTATTTAGAAGCCATTTCCAAGCCATCTCCAATCGCCATCCTTTTTTGTTACACAGATCCGATCTCGGATGTTCCACAGATCTTTTTTCGCCACCAGCACCAAGTTGCCTTGCCTTGCCGACGTACTGGGTCAAAGCGGTAACTTATGCCGCGGAGAGTTACCGACCACTTAGGAGTGTGTCTACATGTTTCGCAAGCTGTGCTTCGAGTTTGTGATGACCATGCCCGGAATGACCTCGGAGAACGAGGCGATAGCTGGCTGGGGATCTAAGCCGAAAAGCCGATAGCTGGCTGGGCTAAGCCGTAAACCTGTTGGAGGTTTGACATGAGCACTGAATCGAACTGTTCGAACTTTTTGGCTGGTTGGTGGTGACTGGAACATGTTTTTTTTTTCCATTTGTTGGGAATGGAATAATCATCCCAACTGACGAAGTCCATGATTTTTCAGAGGTAGGTCAACCACCAACCAGTATAGTTACTCATGTGGTTAAAACAATGCCAACCACCCCATTTTTCATGGTCTATACCACCCATAAATTTATGGTGATGACGATGACTGGGGCATGGTTTATGAAATTGTTTTAACCATCATTACACCGGTATTACCCTCTGGTAAACATACTATATAACATAACTATGGACAATCACCATTTTATAGCTGGCTAAATCCACTATTTCAATAGCCATTTTCAATAGCTATGTAAGAAATTACCAGAGGGTATCTCCCACAAATCACCATATGTCCCATATTTTTCCAATAAATCACCATTTTCCATAGCTATTTTGACATAACCAGAGGGTAATGGGACATGGCGAGGAGATCTTGGGTCGCATCAACAGCAGCAGTGTGGCCTTCGTGGCGTCGGTGTTCTTCGCGTTGCACATGGCGTGCCAACCCTACGACAACAGGCGAGGTCAAGGGCGGAGCTGGGGCAGAAGGGGTTGATGGGGGTGGGGGACTTGGGATAGCCGCGATACACTACGTATATATAGATATTATGTATCTAATATATAATAATATATATATATATGTTTTATAATATTTAATGCGCGTTATGTCCCACTTGATATCCTGATACAGAAACTTGTTTATGTTTGTTGTATGCATACACACACACACATAATAACATATATATATATATAATATATATATATATATACTCCCATGCTCATTGAGTCATACCGGACCTAAAAGAAACATTGTAGGTTTCGTTAATATAGCTACTGCTATTGTTAGATTATTGATTTTATCTTTCTATCATATCCCGTTGCCAGGGATTACTTCATCCTGGATCACATCGAGACTGCCTCGCTGCGTGCCATTTTGGTCACCGCCTTTCTGCAGTTGTGGTGTCTTAACACGACACTGGGACGCATTGGGTTGGCTGGTGACCAACAACACACCAAGCATGTGGATCAAAGCTGGGATCCAACAGGAAGCTACAGAAAAAATGGGATTCAACATACCAAAAAGGGCCTTTGAACAACACCAAATTGAAGCCTTGCACAGCAAACTGGGGGTAAATTGGAGGCGCAGCCAAAATTGGAGGCATAGCTGCTGTTTATGCAAAGGAGGTTTACAAGCCAACCGGGTCACCACTAGAGATGACCAATTTTGGTGCAGGTTTTTTCGGTCGCAGAGGCCGAAGTTCTTCCATTGGTTCTTGGCGATATGGGACTCTAGAACCAGGTCAAATGGCAACAATGATGCTCATGGAACCACTCCCCCAAGAGAATAGCGTAAAACCATGTCAAAACCTGGGAAAAAAGTCTGATCAGTCTGAAAACATGATCAAATCTCCATCCAATCTCCATTCTTCATCATTCTTCATCATTCTTCCCCGTATGGTCCGTTAAATTCTTGACACCCTGAAGCATTCGAGGAATGAGGCGGATGGCATCCTCCATAACACGTGGCTTCGGGAGGTCCGGAACGTCATCTGAGCCTCGCCAGAAGGGATGTCCATGAAGGATATAGAAAAGATAGAGATAGATAGAGATATACCCTCTGGTAAATTCACACAGACCCTGAAAATAGCCTAGTTTTAATGGTTTCACTAATCTTCCAACCCCGATGACTGCCAGGGTCTATGTTAATTTACCAGAGGCTACTTTCTGAAATACTGATGATATCCTTGAGAAATGATAGTTGGTTGATGATTGCAGTACCTACATGTACCATTCATGTACCTACTGTAGGTGGCTATACGATGAATTTTTTCATCTCCTTTTTCTACTAAATGGCGATGACCATTTCGTTGATGACTACAGTAGGCCAAAAACGAGCCATGGCCAGCTCATCCTTTCAGCACGACCTTGGTGATGATCTTCCAGTCAAGGGAACATGGCTAGGACTGGATGTTTGGATGGCCGGATGACTTTTTTTGGGTATCCGAAAATGATGGAAGAAGTCTGACTAGTAGGACTTGGCTTGGCTTCGATCATCCAAATCAGTGGGATTTCTGCTGCAAGGTACTGTCGTGATCCTCTTATTCCACCTCCGTTTGGGGGCCTGACCTTGGTGGAAGAGACCAAAACGGGGAGATCGCCAGATGCAAAACGGGGTCAAAAAAAGCCGTTCAGTCGTTGGAAATTTAGGAGAAACTGTAGTTTTTCTAATCAGGCATGGGATTTCCTTTCAATCTTCCTGAGATTGGCCCACTCACTCTTGGTGAGTCGCGATGAACAAGTGCACAAGAACTCTTTCGGGATCAGTTATTCCACTTTCAATTTTTCAACCACTAAACACCAGTACCAGTACCACTTATTGACCGTTTTTCCACAGAATCCCCCCCAAAAAAACAACCGTTGAACTGGCGGAGAATGTTCAAGCGGATCGAGGCTTCTTCTGGCTCTTCTTCTATGGAATCGCCCGCAGGAGGATCCAATCATGCATCTCTGCGTGTCGAGGTGGAAAAATCCATGGAACACATGTGACATGTGGGATGAGCTGCAGATAGCCGCGTTTAAGATTATTAGGAGATATATACATATATATATATACACCATTTGTTGGAATGGGACAATATCAACCTTATAGATATTTTTCTGTTACGAACAATATTAAAACACTATAAACAATATTGTCTACGGATGTGATATTAGACAACTCCAAACTTAACACGGAAACCGAAGAACAACAAATGGTCCTGAAGGATCTTGGCAATTTTTATGGGTCCGTGTAACCAGTAGTGGGTCCTTTGGATATGATTTCAAACGCCCCTAATCAGCCAAACCTTGGGTGTTTTTTGTCCCTGGAAATGATGACATGTGACCGCGGGAAAAGCGCCAAGATTGGTACGTCAGAAATATGTCAGAAAACATGTATGAAAATATGTTGGAAGAAATCTCCGAAAAGTCAATGTCAGTACATATGTTAGTAATTACGTCAGAATGTATGTCAGACTATATGTCACCAGATACATCTGTGTTTGACTTCATTTTGCAATATATAAGCAGCAAGTGTCGGATTTTCTATGTCATGTTGAGTGTTGCATGAAGTAAGTAATATCATATATATATATGATTATATACGTAGACATACACCCTTCAGTAATCTAACATAGCTATGGCATACTATGGAACATCACCCAATTCTAGATGAATTACCGGTGAGCAATTTTTTTTACATGGTGATTTAAAGCAAACTGTTAAATGGAGGGTATCTATATATATATATACATATACATATATATCTATGTAAATAGCATTAACTAGCCAGAAAGCCATGGAACTGTGGGACGTCCTCCAAAACACCAGGGCCGGGCCGTGAGACTCGTGAGACTCGTGAGACTCGCCAGGCCGCGACTTTTCCCACGGCATCGTCAAGTTCGTCCCAGATGGCTTGCAGCTACACAACCTCAACGGGAAGGAGGAGAGCCAGCTGAGCTGCGGGGAGAATCCCTGGGCCCATGAATGATGTGAACAGAAAAAAAAATGATATGGGACATAAAACCAGCCATTTCGGACATAAAGGGGAAATTGATGGGATGATTATATATGATTATGGGATAAGTATGAGACAATGATGGACAATTATGGTATCCCCAATTGGGGTTTATTTGTTAGATAGGTATACCGTTGCCTGATCCGGGATGACATAGAAATAGCTCCCCGCAAACAGGTCCGATACTAATCAAGGTTGCTAAGGAGGTATTTGATAGAATATATTAGAGGAGGTATGAATAAAAACCTTATGCCCCACCTATATTAATTTACCTGTACGGAACATCCCCAAAAAAAATAATGTATAGAAATACGCCCCAAAAAGATGCCGAAAAGTAAAATCCTACTCAAAGAATGTTATAACTGATGTTAAATTACTTTTCTATCTTCCTGGGGGTTACTATATATGTATATTATACAAATATACATATATTTATGTATACTCTTCTTGGGGGTCTCTTTATACAATGCATTTTACGGGACCATAACTGGCGATCCCTTGAAATAAGCGATGGCGAATCTCCGCTCAGGAGATGCTGTTGAAGACGCTGGTCTCCGAAATCTTCGATTTGCACATGCAAGCGTGGCCTGTTCCAAAAATGCCCTCGCGGTGTCAATGGGGAAAAACCCCTTAGTATAGCTCCCCAAATGGCAGGTTTTAAATGGGGATGATGATGATGATGATGATGATGGTGAAGAGGAACCATTTTTTCCTTGGACGAACCAATTTTACTCTCGGGAACCAGCCTCAAAATCTTATGAACGTTCAGGTTGGCTGGGGATTTCTTCTGACGTGTGAGTACAACTGTGCTTTCACGCCAGAATAGAATGGTCCCATCTTGTTTCTTCCAACTTTGGTGGATTTGGGTGAACTTGAGTTTAAACATGTGGAGCCGGAAGATGGTGAAATACACCTGGGCAAAATCAGTCTAATGGTGTATATAAACATGAGAGACTTGCTCCAAGGCCAAGGGTTGACATTGGCTTGGTGGTTGCAACAGGTTTCACACAATGGTCCATTTTCCATGATTTGGTTTTCTTTCATCCCAAATTGAGATGTTTTTAATTGAAGGTGTTGGTTTTTCTATCCACCCGACATACATTTTTTTGGGGGGGATGGGTAGCCAATTTCCATCCACAAGCCCTCCAGGAAGAGGAAGATTGCGTACGACCAATGGTCAGGTCACTTGGGCTTAGCGGTGGAGTAGCGGCGCAATCCTCCACCAGTTGATGCAGGATTTCGCAACCATCCACAGTGTTTTTTTTTGGGGGGTTGAAAATCCAAATCTGGAAAAAGACTCGACATCTTTCCGGAAAAGTTGGAACTCCATTCGGAAACCAAGGCTTGAAACTCGCATTTACCCATGATTCAATGGCAACGGCAGTTTTCCTGCATGGTTAAAGCCCCAAAAAATACTTGGCAAAACCCTGATTTTGATGATTTTGCTGGTTGAACTCACCATTTCTTTTGAGAATTCCCACCAGCTATGATCAACAATTCCACCTTTCATCACTGTTCATTCCAATTTTCTAGGTTTGTCTGAAAACTGGGTACCACCAAATTCACTGCTTCATATTCATTTTCCCCACGAAAATTGCCAGATGTTGGGAAAAAAACATCCCAATTCCCCACACCTAAATGTCATATATTGTCGGTTATATCCCTATGCCATTCTCCATGGTTAAATGTGAATCCACCAGTTTCCATAGTCAAATCCACATTTTCCTTAGTTAAACACCCGTTTCTCTATTTAATCCAATTTCTTCCTACTTCAATTCCCTAGTTCAATCAGCATATTCCCTAGTTAAATCCAATTTCCCCGTAGTTAAGTCGACAATTACCTTACTTAAATCAGCATATTCCCTGTGAAATCCAAACTTTCCCCAAGTGAAATCAGCATTTTTCATGGGTAACTCCCTCAAATTCCCCATTTTCTATGGTAAATCCCTACATTTCCCCATTTTTTCCCCATGTTCGTTCCGCTTTTCGTTGCTCAGTTCCAAGGCAGTTTGCAGATGTTATGCCTGGAGGCCAGGCGCCAGCACATCGAGAACGAACTGCTGGCACTGGTGCCTGGGAAATCCATGGGGTCGGGAAATATCTGGGAGCTATTCCTGGGATATTTTTCTGATAGTTTAGTAAATCTGATTTGGGATTTCACAGGATGGTATCTAAATATAACTATATATAACTATGTATATATATATATGTATTGTATATATATATATATGTATAGGATGGTATAGGGGAAAAAGTAACTCCTGAAGTGTTGGAATTGATGACAGGGATACCAGCTGGACGTCATCAGCTCCATGGCAAGCTGGAGAATCCACGAAGAAAATCGAGGTTTTAAATAGTTTTGATGGGAAAATCCACTATAAATGGCCATTTTCAATAGCTATGTTAGTTTACCAGAGGGTAAATATACACAGATTTCACCGACGGAAATGATCGATGATTAGGTCGGGGACATAACCCGGTAGATGATATGTGCCATAGTCCAACTTATTTGGATTAGATTTGAGTGTAATTGTAAGATGGTCGTCTATGCAGTCATAGGGATTTATACGTGCACTGCAAGGAATCCCAATATATAAATTGTTGAATAGAGGGCTATTTACCATCCGTTTGTGCTAGGTAAACATAAATCCAATAACTAGGGTTCATGGCAGATATACCGAACTAGTTAACGGGGTTGCACTATCTTGCCGCCAAGAAGGGAGGGACATTCAATAAGGCAAATATAGGGGGATTTGACAACTAGGGAAAATTAGGATATACTATAATACTATATCGATCTATATCGGATATATATATATATACACTTATATAGAATTATATACACAGAAAATTATGGGGATATTCCCCGAAGCATATGAATGAAATTTGGCTTTGTAAATGGGGATACGAAGCAACATCTTTGGCTTTAATTTTAAGTTGGAGCCATGAAATCCCATGGGCAAAAAAAGCGCTTACGAATCAGTTCAAAGATGTTCTTTTCCTACAATGTGGTGCCCCATAGTTATAAGTTGGTTTATAAGCCCCAGTAACCATAGTTATAAGTACCATAAACCATAGTTATTGGAGTTCTAAACCAACTTAGCTATCTTGGGGGCCTCACATTATAGTTGATCAGAGGGTTTAGTCGTTCAAGAATCACTAGGCAAGCGATACATGGATATAAATGGTATACCACCAGACCCGGCCCATCCTCTAGTTTTGCCAATTGGACATGGTTGAAATGTGAGGACAAGGTGGGCAACACCCTGCGATCCTGGAGGGAAATCAGCCGCAAGCTCTTCCATGGCTCAAGGGTGGGCCTCATCTTTGAGAGGCTGGGCATCCGTTTTTTCTTTGGGAAACTGATGGATGGATGCGATTTTCATTCAACTTGCAAGGTGGGATGGCACACTTTTAGATCATACCCGCGGTTGAAAAAACCGATGTTTTTGAGTCGACCCCCTGTCCCACGGGTCCCATGGGGTCAGGATCTTCGATCGCATGGAGAGCGCCTATGGTTTGGTGTCCAAGAGTGGCAGCTATGAAAATTCCAAGAAACAGAAGGACAAGGAATTGGAGGCGCGTCGTCGAGGGCTGATCCGGGAGGGGTGTGCCGTGAAAGAACCAGGGATTTTTCAGTTTTTCTATGTTTTTACCCTCTGGTAATTTGTTACGTAGCTATTGAAAATGGCCATGAATAGTGGATGTTCCCATTAAAAATGGTGATTTTCCATAGCTATGTTAGTTTACCAGAGGGTATTGACTAGTGGGTATGCTAGAGGTTGCCAGTTTAAAGATGATCCAACGTTTGGGTCTTGATTTTTGTCCCGCCGCAGGCTTAGCCCATTGGACACCTGTTGGGGCAAGTGTTCGCTCCGAACCCAGAGAGAGATAAACCATGAAACCGAACACATATTATGTAGGCCATAACTTGGCCATTTCTAGCCGGAAAATCCTCTTCCAAAGCCAATTTAGCGGGGTTTCCATCTTGAAATTTCAGGGATGCCATGTCAACCCCGGATTAATACCCCCATAGGTGGTTTCATTGGGCGGTTCCATTTCAACGTTTCAATAGCCACATCAAAATATCACTTTTGGATACCTTTGGAGGATACCCTCTTGTTCCAGTGGTTTCAGACATTCTTTATTTTCCAAAAAAACGATGATTCAATCTCAATCGACTATCATAATCTTGGTGTTTCACCATCCGGAAGTCAACTTTGAAAAGGACCTGAAGATCTTCTGTGCCGACTCCTTGAACAAGATCTTGAACAAAGAGTGCCTGGGAATGCCTGGGATCGCTGATCGGTCCTGGTTCCTGGTTGGGGCATGCTACCCTCTGGTAAACTAACATAACTATGGAAAATCACCATTTTTAATGGGTAAATCCACTATAAATCACCATTTTCAATAGCTATGTAACAAATTACCAGAGGGTACTGTTGATTTTCCCATCAAAACCATTTAAAACCTCGATGTTCTTCGCGGATTCTCCAGCTTGCCATGGCATCATGGAGCTGATGGCGTCCAGCTGGTATCCCTGTCAGAAAAATTCCAACAGTTCAGGAGTTATTTTTTTCCCCTATACCATCCTATATATACATATGGTCCATTTTCAATAGCTATGTTAAATTACCAGAGGGTAATAATCACTACAATTACTGCAAGTATGTTGAGCAACAGAATGGAAATCATGATCACTGGCTCCCCTTCTGCGCCTTGCTGGTGGTAGTTGCCCCCCGAAAAAAAGTAGGCGTTTGTTTTCAACGGACTTCTTTTTCCCCAGATGGTCGACGCGATCTGTGGGGTCCGTTATTAGCTCTGTCCAGGTTCAGAGTCGACGAGTTGCAGGATTCCATGCTGAGTCTTGGGAAGAGCATCTGCAACAACAAACGCCGCTGGGCGTTTTTGGGGGTAAAGGAGGTGCGTTCTCATCTTGAGACTCCCCGATGTATTTTCAGACAACCATCTCCATTTTCTTATTTTTGTTGGTTTAACTATGGTAAACGTGTACTTTGGGAATTTTGAATTCTCAGCCAACTGGCCATGGTTGTTGGTGTCGCGATTCCTTTTCTAGGCCTAAGTGTGGATGTTCACTCGTGGCACAGTCATCCCCAAGCCTGTTCAACAGCAACCACCCTCGTCGTTTGGTCGCACAAAATGAGATATTCAGGGGTATAACCCAACATTTACACTTCTATTGAAAACAAAATGATACACTGTGGGTTTTGGGGTACCCTATTTTCAGACAAACCCCACATATCGTAGGGTAACAGATACCTGTAATTGAGGTAGAGGAATATACCTCATGCTTTCTCCTCAACTCATCTCAGGAATTGGTGGTTTAGGAGAGAACATGAAGGTAGAGGATGAGACCATGTCGCCACCTGGCTGGGTACTGGGGTAGTCACGTAGTCTAATATGTATTTATAGGCAAAAACCAGGATGAACACTTCTCATGGAGTCCCAGTTATATACACATATTAAATCATATTCATACACATATTACCCTCTGGTCATTTGACATAGCCATGGTATAGATGGCCCTAATCGAAATAGATGGTTCACCTAGCTATAAAATGGTGGATCTTTCCATGGCGAACTGTTAGTCATAACCAGATGGTAAATCTTCACGCGCGAACCGGTGGAGTGACTTGGTGATCTAAGCCTAAAACCACCAGGGAAAGTGATGAAAAACCATCGATAAGCCATGGATATTATACCAGGGGGAGGTATAATGTCCATGAATAAACCATGTTTTTTTTTTTTTCGGGTAGCCTATTTTCTGACGAACGCATCTCTCGAAATTTTCTAGATTCTAGATAATAGTACGTATAGCATTTAAATCCATAAATAGTTACATCATATCCCACTAAAACCTCAAGGGGTAGAGTTCAACCACACTATTGTTGGTTAATATCGGCAGTTTGTTGGTTGTTCATGAGTCCTTACCATGTATATACCGATCAAGTGTGCTGGGTAGCGACAGCAAAGGTTAGCCCCATCACTCATGGACGATACCCGATTTGATCGGTTGGAATTTTCATTTCGGCCACATCCAAGGTATATGGAGATTTCCTAAATGGGGGTACCCCTAAATCATCCATTTTATTTTCGGATTTTCCATGAAATAAACCATCCATTGTGAGAACCCCACATTTATGGCCATATGTAACTGTATATGCATGTCTATACATCTAGAATTCGTCATGATATCTTGGGTTGCGTCCGAGGGAAATGAGTTTTTTTCCTCCTATGGATTTGGGGACCACCCAGTGAGCGGCAGAAGCCACCGAAGTCTGCCAGGCAAGCGTTGGAGTTCTATGTTGGGCAACTGGGCGGCAGAGACGTTTTGCTGACCACAACTGGGAATGAAGGGAATTTCCAGGCTGATGATGATGTTCCAGGCTGATGATGATGATGATGATGATGAATCATATTGTTGCAATTATTGTTGATTCACAGGCCATAGTATGAGTGACACACGGAATAGCAGCAGTAACAGGAAGAGACGGAAAAACAAACATGAAGATCATCAGAGACCATCAGAGACCATCAGAGACCATCAGAGACCATCAGAAACCATCAGAGATCATACGCAGATCACAGTGTTGGTAATAATTATCATGTTCTCCTATAGTATCAATATATACATATATGATATATGGATATCAATATGAAAAAAATGTAAATAGACATGACCATAAGCATAGGCATAAATCTAAAGATATAAACTGATACCATCTGGTTATTTAACATAGCCATGGAAAATCACCGTTTTATAGCTAGGTAAACCATCTATTTCTATGGGTCATTTCCCATGGCTCGAAGGTCTGCGCCAAGGTACTTTCTCGTTTGTGGTCTTGTTCTGTTTCAAGGATCCCCATTAAAATACGACGGACGACGAAAGACGACGAAGAGAAAAAAACGAGCAAAAGGGTTTCAAGGGTTCCTCTACGGGACCTCCGGGGGAAGAAATTCCAAGGGTTCCTCTCCGGGACCTCCGGGGAGAAAAAATAAAAATACAATTTTGAAACAAATTAAGACGGGCACATACCATTGAGAAAAACACATAGCATGTTTTATGCATATTTGCAATGTTCGGTCGCAAGTGTTCTTCCCCGGGGTATGGGTTTGTCTCCGGGATTTTATTTTATTTTTTATTTTTTCGGCAACCTTGAGCGCGAACCTTCACTGTGGGAAAATACTTGGCCTTGAGAAATCCTTCGAACATGGAAAAATTTTCCAGGAATACTGGTTGGGAAACCAGGACCTTTGAGGAGGGGAAAAAGAAATCACCTTTAATACGGGGAGGAGGGTTGAGACAGGCACATACCATTGAGAAGGTAGAAAACCCTTCATCCAGACTTTTGAATGGCTATGTTAAATAACCAGAGGGTATACCCTCTGGTAAACTAACATAACTATGGAAAATCATCATTTTTAATGGAAAAACTCACGATAAATCACCATTTTTAATAGCTATGTTAAATTACCAGAGGGTACATATAGACATTCAGATATTCCTTCTCCCAGTTCCCCGGTTCTCCCATCCCCTTCCAGGCCGTTGGACATGGACGAACATGTGGCCATCGCCATACAGGAGCGCGCCAACATCAAAGAGGTCACCGAGCTTCGCAAGGAGGTGCTTTTAGACTCGGAAAGTTGGGGATTGAACTTGGGGATGATGATTCATACCCTCTGGTAATTTAACATAGCTATTGAAAATGGCCATTTATAATGGATTTACCCATTGAAAATGGTGATTTTCCATAGCTATGTTAGTTTACCAGAGGGTAGGTATTTTCAGTGGTATTTCATGGATATTAGTTCATGGATATTGGGATTTGGTGGAGATATTCGATCCCCTTAACATGGTGAGGTTTTCCGAGAGAATGATCATCTAGTTTGCCCAGATGGTACCATGAAAATAACAGGGGGATTCCATTCTGCTCATTCTGACATACTGTGTAGACATCATTCCATCATTCCCTAAATTGTGCTTGAAATTTACCATGGATTTTCAACTTTTCGTATTTTTCTTCGGCAGATTGATGGGGATTTTGGGATGATGCTCCACCAAGATCCAGCAAGGGCAGCAACGACTGGCAAGGCACAAAAAACCCGACTTCATATGGCTTTTTGGGGAGTTTGACCCATATACCCATACCCAGATTTTCATTGCGGAAAGATTCATTTTGCGCATTCCTTGATTCGGCAGGTTGACGAGCGGCAAACAGAGTGCAGCCTGGCCAGTGGTTTTAGCGCTGGGTAGGCCACTGGTGATGCCTGAGAAGTCGGAAACTTACCCAGTTATGTCAAAATAGCTATTGAACATGGCCATTTCTAGTTGATTTACCCATTAAAAATGGTGATTTTCAACAGTTTTTTGTATGTTTACCAGAGGGTATGAGTTGCAAACCACTAGTCACTGGAACCTGAAACTCTGAAAGTACTGGGAAACATGACCTCCGGTCATCAACCATGATCCCTTGTAAATGGAGGTTTTAAGATGTTTCTAGGGAAAATCATCTATAACAAGGGGGGTACTGGCATGTACTTTCGAATCTGATAGCTATGGCAGAAATACTGGGGAAGAGCCATGATGACAACTCAGCCAGACTGGGTGGGAAGGTCATCCCCAACTGCTTTGTCGACTGGAATCGTTGATTGATCTTCCCTTTTTTGTGGTTGGGAAATGAAGAATGTTGTGCCGATGTAGATGTAGATGTAGATGTAGATAGATAGATAAATAGATAGATAGATAGATAGATAAATAGATAGATAGATAGATAGAACGATAGAACGAACGATAGAATATGTTCCATTATCTAAAAAATCCCCAGTTGAATTCCATTCTGCCCCCCCAAATCTTCTATTTTTCTCAAGGTGCCGATCTGCGGCGGCTCCTGGGTCAGTACCGCGCCCAGCGAAAGCAGGCGGAGCCGTCACGAAGCGTGCCGTAACGGTAACGAACCGGGCGTGCCGGGGATCCCCAGGAACTGGTTGTCCATGGCAAATCCAAATATGCCCAGAGATTGGTGGTTCCATTATACATTGGTGTCCTAAAATATGGATAAATATGGGTTCATTGGAACCCCCAAAAACCATTGGTTTTCCCATTGAATAGTTAAAATATACCCCAAACCATTGGTTTACATTGGAGGTGTCCAATTTTTTTCCCCAAATCTGAGATGTTTCTCATTTATTTTTTGGTGATTCCATGATACATTGGAGGTGTATGGGTACCCCAAAGTCCTATTGGTTTTCGCTTGTCGTAAGCACTTTTGGATGATTTCGGGGTACCCCCATGACTTGGGAAACCTGCATGAAGTTGGAGGAAAAGATGAACAAGTGGTGATCGATTTCTCTCAACTGTCATATCTTGCCAACATGTCCGAAATTTAAATAAATTTCATGTAGTTAGATTATCTGCAACTTGAAAAAATGGAAGAATTGTGAAGAACAATATCTTGGATAAGTTACATCAATCAGTTAGATCCCTGAATGATCCCTGAATGATAGATCCCCTATGTAAGTTAGATCCCTGAATGATAAGGTGCCCCAAACATGGGATGGTTGATCGGATCCCCAATAGTAATGAATAGGATTTAATCACAGCCATCAACTTTTGAGTACAATCCCTTCCCCCTAATCTTAAACACCCAGAAAGCCATGGGTTTTTCGTAGGGGATTTCCATGGATTTCCACATATCATTTTTTGACCATTTATGGGGCTGTTTAATATTGGAAGGGAATAAAAAGAACACATTCACCAATTTTTTGCCTTGGTATCCGGGGTTTTGGGAGCAGCCCTTCACCGCCAGGGGCTGGGGACGGACGAGGAGTGTTGAAGCTCAGAAATGCCGTTTTCAGCTGCGGTTTGTCCAGGAGTAGGGTACCCATGGGTACCCCCCCAAATCTGATGGTTGAGCAATGGCAAGTTTTTTTCGGGGTCTACAGCATTTTTGGGATTTTCGTTGAAGAAAGGATGGGAAGGATATCAAAATTCACCGGAACTTGTGGGGATGTTGGCAAGAAGCCAAGGTTTCAACCAAACATGTCCCTGACATTCCAAAAAATGCATTGACCCATGATTTCCCGCAGCCACATTCGATTTCATTGAAAAATCCCGATCTTCCAAGAATTTCCCCATATTTTCCCTAGATTCCCCATATTTTCCGTAGATTCCCCATATTTTCCCTAGATGTTGCCACGGTTTTCCCCATATTTTGCCACGACTTCCACGGTGAAATCCCCGGTGAAATCGGTGAGGCGCCCAGTGGACGATCCCCGGGCAGAGCGACTGGAGGAGCTGGAAGTGCAGCTGAAGAAGAGCATGGAGGCGCCGCTGTTGCTTGATGTTGACGCGAACTACAGTATAACTACAGTATATATAGAATATATAATTGTATATATATATAAATCCTATACATGTAATTTATATATAATATAATATAATATAATATAATATAATATAATATAAATATAATATAATATAATATAATATATTATATATAGAATATATGATGTATATATGCAATTAATAATAACAATAATGATAACAATAGTGATAACAATAATAATAACAACAACAATAATAATAATAAATAATAATGATAATTATAAAGTATGATATGATATATAATATAGTATAATATAATATATACTACAACTATAGGATCTATGGTGGATATTTCTGACATAGTGTTTTAGCTACGGTCGCTTGAACCGACTGGTTATTCATGGGTATTAGAGGTTAGTAATGGGATACTTATGGAAACATTATACAGGCAGTTCGCGGCGCAATTCAGTCGAAGAGGGGATACACAATCCACGAAGCATTACATCCTGGCAAGTTATAACAACGTGGTAACCACAATAAACCACACCCAAAATCAGTACGAATGGGTGTATAAACCATCCCCAATTGGTAGGTTTAGTAAAGTATGTTTTTTTCTTTATTTTCCCACATTATACTGTATGTAATTCTTAAGTGACATCAAAGAATTTCTTGGGATTTAGGCACGATTGACGGTGAGCTCCCAGCATGGGGAAAGGCGAAACTGCACAATGGGGACTGATGATTTGCACATCATTTTTCGGTTTTAGACCAGCGAAACATGGGGCACATTCAAGCTTTGAAGCAATGACACAAATCTAATCGTATGTAATAGTAATTTATGTTAATTATCATGTAGTATAACATACTATTATATACGTATATATATATATATATGATAGGTTATGATAGTATACGATTACAGCATTACCCTCTGGTAAACTAACATAGCGAACTGGAAAATCACCATCTTTAAAAACGGTAAATCAACTATAAATGGGCAATTTTCCGTAGCTATGTTAAATTACCGGAGAGTATAATCACACGGCCAGGCCCTTTCGGAGGCACAGGAGGAGCGCGACAAAACTCAGGCGTCGACAAAACGAGGGGTGGAGGGGCTGTCATGGATCGCGAGGGTTTAAAGGGACATACACCATGAAACAATTAAGGTTATATATGACGGTTAATTATATGTGGTCATACAAACATATGTTTCTTCTTGTTTTTTTTTTCGGAAACCTCTATAAATTAAGGTTGATGGAATAATTGCGGTTAGGGTTTAACCATGGAAGAATGAACCATACCTCTCTTAAGGTTTACACATGTGATCAAATCATTTCCAGACAAGGCTTGAGACCCCTAAATTGAGCGAAAAAGAGCTGATTCCCGCAAAGGGAGCCGAATTTTGACTTGAAATCACAAATTAGGGGAATGACATGGGTTACCCATCAAAATAAGACAAGATGACGCACTGCGTTCCAGGCAAACCCCTCGTCCCCCGTTCCCTTTACTGGTGTCTCTGATATTTTTGATTTCGCCGTACCAATTGCCAAACATCTTTGATAAACATGTTCACTCGGCACCCAAAACATCGAAACACATTGGGGGCACATAAGTTTTGCTACCTCTACATTGTATATATAATCATATATAGATTTTTTCCCATCATATCCCAATTGTTTCCCTAGTTATATCCGTATTTCATCCATATTTATGGTTGGTTTTGAAGCCATAAACCATCGAACACCATTTTCCCCGCGTGGTCAGGCGGAGGTGTATCGACTTCAGGGAGATCTGGACAAAGAGGGCGATCTCAAACAGGAGGTGTTCCCTCGGGGGTTTATGGATGGGTCAGATGAATTTGAGCCATGGTTTAACAGTTGAACCCATGTCTTTTTTGGGGGGTTATTCTGTTTTTTTTATGAGGATTTCTAGGGGTTTATTATGGTTTTTATGATAATGATATGGGGAAAACTCATGCGAGATGATAAATTGTGGTTGATTGGTGATAACATCAACCAGCTGGGGTTATACAAACCAAGCTGGTTGAGGGTATTATTCTCATCCAAATTTCATACATGAGCAGTGCTCAACACCCCTGTTGGTTGATTATTATGTGGGGTTACACTATCCAATATATTGATATACATATAATATACACATACATATAATATACACATATATATATATACATATATATACATATACATATATATATATACATATATATACATATATATATACACATAATATACATATGTATATATATATATACACATAATATACATATATATATATATACATAATATACATATATATATATACATAATATACATATATATATATATATAGAGGGCATGATCATCTAACGAATTGTCGAGGCCAAAGGCGTCATGGAGGAGCAGCAGTCCAAGATCCATTCCCTGGAGGCCAAATGGGCCGATGGACCCCCCTGGAAAAGTGATCTGCCAAGATTGGGATTAGATGCATGGGCATTTACATAAGCTAATTTAAGCCACAGCAACGTGGATCTATGTGGATATGCAAGAGTTGGAAAACTTGGAAATTACGAGCTGGATCATCACATCCGTTCGGTTGTTGCCGTAACCGCCTGACAGGTGAAGTCTAAAGAATGCAAAAGTGGACATGTTTTGACCGCACAGCCATACAAATGACATCATTTTCAGGGGTCAGAATCTTTCTCTGCGGTGGATGATGGGCCAAAACAGACAAGAAGGTTTCGGGGAGATCGCTTCAACAGAGTTAAACAAATGCCATGTTTTAACATGTTTTAACACGGAATTTGCAAAGAATAATATGTATATATATATAGTTTGGGTCGGTAAAAGAGATAGGAAAAACGCGAATCCATGATATTGTCATGGCAATTTAGCTTTCAATCCTTTTGGCGCGCCCGACAAGCCATAAGGTTTCCATCAAAACGTTGTCAATTGACAGCATCATTTCTTGAATCAAGACTCACTTTCTCCATCTTCATGGGTTCCAAGATGTGAGAAGTGAAGTGGTCACAGGCTGCCGCTTTAAATTCGCGTTAAGTCAACAGGGAATCATCAACTTCATCAAGAATAAACCCAAGCAAAGCCACAAATTTGCTTGGTGAAACTCACCAGTTTTGGTGGCATTCCCTTTACCAGGGTCCAGCTGCAGGAACAGCTGAGGAAGCTGCAGCAGCATCGCATCAGTTGCAGCTGGATGTCAGACAGGGTGAAGCAGCAAAATGGGGATCCCAACATCGATGGAGAGTTAGCCTCTGGTAAACTAACAGTTCGCCATGGTATAGATGGCCCATAGAAATAGATGAATTTCCCAGCTATAAACCCTCCATTTATGGTTGGGATTTTCCATAGCAAACTGTTAGTCATAACCAGAGGGTAAATGCCATGATCGAAGCCATGGGATTTCAGATTGAGGGTGCAACCGAGTGCTGGCCCTACATCGCCATTTGGCCATGGGGATTTAATATGATTTAATGATGACTGAACTACTGATTATGTGGATTTCATAGGGCGATACATAGTTTTTTAGATTATTTTTTGGATTTAATGAGAATGTAGCCAGCAATAGCCAGCATCATTTTTGATTATTTGATTATAGTGATTTCATGGGGCGGTACAGACTTGTCTCGAAGTGGGGTAGACCCCAAAACGACAATTTTAATGAGAAACACTACGAAGAAGCGAGGTGCACAATTTTTAAACAAACCCACATTGTGTAGATGACGAACTGAAGGGTAGGTAAAATTTTGGCTGCTAATTTTATACATATATATATATATATGTACATATGTTATATTTATTAGCCATAATTAATGGATGCGATCATTTCTTGAGTATACCAACGAAAAAACTTGCTTTACTATATTAGACTAGCTATGACCTGGCAGATCACAGACCCACTAAACACTCACATGCCCTTCATATGTTGTTGGTTGATATCCTTTGTTTTTGTTAATCAAAATCCCGACTTGATCCCAAAATTTTGCGCGCCCCTTTTACCAGAATTCCTGCAGGACAAATTGCAATTCTATCAACATGTTTGTGGGTTAAATCCTCGTTTCGTCTTTTTTCTTGCTGGTTGAAATCAAAAGAAATCAGAAGTTTTCCCCCGGTTAAGATCCCATGCTTTTCATATTTTTGCATATACATATATATATACATATATAATCATATATATATACACATATATATATACACATATGTATATATATATATATATGTATAATATTTATATATCATTATGTATAATATTTATGTATCATCATGTATTATATATATACACATATAATATAATACGTCCCTGGTTCTTCAGCGAAGATCCCGTTTTCATCATGTTTTTGGATCGAAATCAGTACCAGAACTGGTTCGCCCTTCGAGGTTGGTCATGCCACACCAAGTTGCCGGAGGACGCGCAGTACTGCTACACGTGCGGGAAGGCCCACAGCTTCGCTGGATGATCATATCTGGTGAAAATTTTCGGAGATGTTCCATGGTTTTCACATCAATCCTACAGGATGGTGCCCCCCAGTGATGTTGGTCGGTTTATAACCCCCATTATCAATAGTTGTATCTACCATAAACCATAGAATTCAGCCACTTTTTTCAGGCAACTGAACGCTATCTTGGGGGCCCCATCGTGTAGGGATTTTGATGGATTTTCATAGCTACTGCATGGTCTCGCTCAAACCAGACTGGAACGTCCTCCCAGAAACCAGGCGCTACATGACGAGCTGCTGGGGGCCTAGTGGGGACCAGTTTTTCAACGTGAGAACTTGTGGATTGACTTGGTCATCAATTAATTCTTGTAGGCAGACAGATGTAAGAATAGCTTAATTATATCATATATAATATATCATACATCTGTGATTTCGATTGCTGAATTTCCTAGCGTTGGGGTATACATGTTCTCACAAAGCACACTTTTTGCTTTGACTTCAGGCTCAAGCAAGTGCTAGAATGCATCTATTGAACGGTTGGAATCCCTGTTTTTTGGGTTAAGAACCTCGTGACTTTTCCTCATCGTTGGTTGTACCATTAAACAACAAATTTGAGGTTTATGATCATTTTCCCTGTTAAGTTAACATTGGGATATTTTTCTGGTATATCTGTATACCCCATTTTCAGACACACCCATACATGTTTATCACCCACTTTCTGACTGGAATGCACACCCAAGTATGACTGTTCCTGATGGGATTTAAGCAATACACCGAAACATCATTCATTCCACATGTCAGAGACTTGGATGATGGGAACAGGGGTGAAAAGCAAGGGTTTCCGGTTGAGATTCTCGCTTTATCCATTGACATCATTCCGAAATCGAAACATCCAGAGGTTTGGCCATTCCCAGATGTTTTGAACCATTTCCCCATTTTGGGTTCCTTCAACTGACGAAAATATGTCCTCAATCTCCAAGGTAAGCGGGCAGACGTGTGCCGCTTTGTGGTTGGAAGGTTCCCAGCTGCGACGTATCCTCTCGGCATACTTCAATGGTTCCCAAAGAATGGGGGATTGAGCCAACCTGAGGAGGCAACCCAATTAGCAGGGAGATAGTGAACATTAGCCATTGACTTTTATAGTGAACCCCAAGGAAACCATGAGCACTCGTCCTGCACTCCCAAGGAGTGCTGTAGACATCACATCGTTTCGTTAGTTGCCCCTGAGGCAGGTTTTTAGACCGCCCAAAGCTGGCTGGAACACCTCAGGAGGTTGGTCTTGGAGTCTTGCATGGCGCGCCCGGTTTATTTACCACGAAAAGTCGCGCAAGAACCAAGTGGTTTGAAATCGAGAACCACTTGGCCACTTGGAGCTTTGAAATTCATCGGTTATGGGTGACTTCATGTGACTTCCCAGTTGGATTTTTTGGTAGGTCCACGATGGTCCAGGTCCGCATTCTCATACTGAGTTCGAAAGATCTCTGAAACTCTTTGGGGTCTGAAAATACCCTCAAATATCTCAAATCCATTGGTTTATTAATATGTTTATCCACCATTTTCCCATGAACATGGCCATAAATTGCTGGCAATGACGCACGTTTTTGTTGCGCATTTTTCAATCATCCGAAAAATCGATGTCTTGGCTGCACCTGTTGTTGAACTGGAGTTCCCATAGGGGGATGATTGATAGCGACCCCAGACCGACCTCACCATGAGAAAGGTGAGAAACGTGTGCCGAGTGAGGGGAATTAGAATAGGAATAAGAACAATATAACAATGATATGAGTAGAAATACTGATAATGGCAGCAATGATAGTAGCATCAATCATCCCGATAATCATGATAACACGAGGTCACCCAATGTCGGCTGCTCCGCGTTTGGAGCGGCCTGTCTGGCGCAGCCCGAAAGAACTAGCCCTTTTTCGCCAGAAAAAAAGGGCTGAATACCGAGGGGTGCTGTGGTTTGGAGACAAGTTTCACTCCAGAATTTGGATCCTAAAAGATGAGGAGTATGAAGAATTTATGCAGGAAACCAATGGGTACAACAGCTTGAAGTGGAACTTGAAGCAACAAATAGTGCACCAACACATTGAGTACCTTTTGTCTACCCAGATTTGGTGATGAGTCGTTTCAGGCACTGTGTTGGGGGCGATGGTTTCGAGCCGAGGCCGGTACGCATCAAATTTCCAGGAACGGGTGATGTTGCTGATACATCCCATTTTGCAGATGAGATTTTCGGCTCCATCTTCGGAATCATCTTTTGATATTTCTCGAAGAAGACTCAGAAGACCTACAATGAATAGAAAGTAAAGGCTTGGATTTCTAGCTGCTAGGGCTCATCGATCCAGGTATCATATCTAGTCCCTTATTGGAGAGCACTGGAGATACGCCTTTCGGCGTTGCCATACGAAAGTTCGACGGTTTCCTAAAAGGGTATGGCTCAGAAATGGTAGATGAACGGATACACAACATCGGTCAATTGTAGTATTTCAATGTATTTCATACATCATAGGACTTCCCAATCCCCAATTAGATTTCAATTACATGCCAGCCATGGCTTGACAGATCCGGGTTTTGATTCTGAGAAAACCAAAATGTCACATGTCATTCCGAATCTTCGCCTGGCCTATCTGCAGCTCCTGGTTGTTTCTCAAGATCTTGGTTGATCATGGTTGATCAGTAATTTTCATGCAAATCAGTCAACAAGGATCACATAAACCGTGTGGTTTATTTTTTCTTTGTATTTTTTTTTGAAGTGTTTCATTATGTTTTATTGCTCAGATGTGTTCTTCAGTTGGACTTTTGAATAGCTTGGGCCCCTGAAGTTCACCAAGCTGGTTACAGTTCGACTGGCGTGGTCGATGAGATCCCGAAATGATACTGCATATATCATCGTGTTATAACAAAAAAGATGGGAGAAATCCTGCACCACCTAAAGGATGGTTGAAACCCTATAAATAGTGGGATGTTTACCATCTATCAACTGGTGCAGGATTTCGCAACCATCCACAGTATCACCTGGTTTTGTGTTTTTTTTTGGACACCAGCAACATCTTCAAAACGAAGCTTTCAATGAGACTTGGTTTTTGTAAACACATGATGTCTGGATGACAGAAGCACAGCCCAGATCACGTAATTTTGAAGTGACATGCAGCACGTGTCGCCGTATGCGTCAAGCATGGACACGCACTTCCACAGTGCATGGGAACCCTGGTGAACCTGGTGATGGATAGGGGATGATAGGGGTCTAACACGACTTTCCTCGAAAAAAATGGCTGATTCTCAGGGGCTATGTGAGTTGAGGGGACGGTCATTTCCTGATTTGGGTTTTTCTAAGAATGATGGTTGAACCACCCAATTCCCTCTGGTTAACCAGTTAACCATTATTTTCACTGTATATAATTATATAATTATTTACATGGTCATTCCTGGGGATACACCCCATTTTCAGACAAACCCATTTGAGGCATAGGGGGGACATGGATAAGACCTAGCTGCCCTAGCTGTCGTCCAATCGTCATTTGATAATTTGCGTGATCCCTGAATTTTGGCCGGTCCGAAAAAAATTCCGGAGTGTCACCCTGGAATTGTTCACACTTCATCATGACCAACCATGGAATTTCTGGGTTCCCCAGCCCCCAAAGGGGCCATCCATGGCCCAAGGCCTCCACGCGGAGTGGGCTCAATGTCCAACCGCCCCTGGTGGAGGAGGAACTCATGACACAAGTCGGAGGTCTGGATGGATGGGATAGGATGTTCATTGTCAAGTCCGGTGGGTGGAACCGTTATTGAAGTTCTGAGATTTCAATAATACTATGGTTACTATGATATATTATGTTATGGGGATATTATGATATGGTGGAAGCATTATTGAACAGGGGGGATATTTATTATGATATTCTGGTGGAACCGTTATTGAACAGGTACGTACCGGTATATAGTTCTGAGAAGTTCTGAGGCCAAAATGCTTTTTGCCGATGTTTTTTTCAGCAATTTTCGGTGTCATGGGTTCATTCCAGAGCTTCATTCCAGGAAAACATGGAGACTGAATCCAACCTCGCATTGCCCATTTTTTTCCTCAGTTGTTCCATCACTTTCCCAGTTTTTAATGGCCATTTCAGGAACCGATTGATTGGAGGTACCTACCATATATAAGACCTATTTTTTACAGAAAGGGACGCTCTCAGTCCCCACGTTTCTCAGTCCCCACGTTTCTCAGTTCCCACGTTTCCACATGTCTGGACAGACGACGTGACAGATTACATATGAATCTTTGTTAGGAAAAATGTTACGTCTACGGAATTCATGCTTATGAATCTGTAGTGTCACTAACAAGCAGACTTGAGGAACACCTGACTCTGATTATATTTCTAATTCACAGGAAAGAAAGAGCCACACAGAAAACAAACGAAAAAAAAAAAATTGGGCTGACCCCCCCCTTTACCTCTCCCAAGACGGCCTATAGAGCAAACCCAGATATATTTTTTCTTGTCGTGGAGCTTCTTACATTTGTGTTCTGTTCTTGTTCTTGTTTCTTGCTATTTTTCTTGTTTCTGTGGATATCTCATATGCTTACCTGATGCGTCCTGATAATTTGCTTTGAAGAGTGTTTGCAAACGCAACGGACAGGCGTATAAACTAACAAGGTAGACATACCATAGAAATCCCATAAGAACCCAGTGGAAATCATATAAGAATAACATATGAGACTGTAGCAGATAACATGGCCCAGAGAGCCACCTAGAGCCACCAAGATAGCCCAGCTAGGGGAGGGGAGGAATCATCTGAAAATATCATAGATATAACATAGAATTAGTATAGGTACCACAAAGAAATCCCATAAGAATATCATAGATTTCCCTCAGACATCTCATAGGAATTCCATAGAAATATCATAGACATACCATAGAAATCCCATAAGAACCCACTGGAAATCCCATAAGAATACCATACGAGGCTGTAGCAGGCAAGATGGCCCAGAGAGCCACCTAGAGCCACCAAGATAGCCCATCTAGGGAGACACTGTCCTGTCTCCTATTCTGTTTGATTGGTCTCTGCCCCATAGTAAGCAGACTGGGATCCCCTCCATTGCTTCGATATCCCATGGCCTTGACAAGAAAACAAAAGGAGAACAGGTATAAAGGGAACACGAAGAATAAGATGATAAAAAATCTGGATGGCTCTCTGGGCTATCTTGCCTCAAGCAATGTCATCTGTCTCTAGGTGCCTCTCTGGGCTATTTTGTCTATTACAATGTTGTCTGTCTCCAGATAACTCTCTGGGCTATCATGTTTGCTGCACACTCGTCTGTACCTTGGAGGCTCTTTAAGCCATTGAGTCTTCAGCCTCATCCTTGTCCGTTACACGTGCATCTGTCTCTTGGCAACTCTCTAGGGTATCTTGTTTGCTAGAAAAGTCATTTGTCTCTAGTTGGCTCCCTGGGCCATCATGCATGCAATCATACTTGAATGTTCAACCAAATAAGGATCACGATCCATATTCTGCAAAAGGTCAAAAAAAATTAAATAACAATATCTATAAAACGCCAATAAATAGAATTATATTCACGATACTTCTAATCTGTAGTTCAGCTGCAACAAATTCCGGATCGCTTGTCACACTGCCAGCATCCACTCATGCTGTTTGTTGATTCTGACTGTGCTTTCTCATGTGCAGTCTGGCTCTGCATATCGCTCGCTCTATAAACTTGTGTAAAAGATTCTTCGAAGCAATGGCCTCTGGACCACCTCCTATGCTTTCCGATACTCAGCGTTCCATGAAGAGGACAATGGCGCGAGATGGGATGGTGCGGAAATATGACGAGATCATTCTGCGCTATGCCAATGTTCAACCTTTCATCCCTCGCGTCGATGACATCGTGCCAAAGAACATCTGGGAACGACAAATGCAACGAGCCAGAGAGCTGTTACGTTCCATCCAAGTCTGTGACGAAGAAGGCCGTCGGCAAGATCTTCACCGCATCGTTCGTCGACTTTGCCCATTCGAGGTCGATGAGCATGCTCGTTTTCGTCCGATGTTACCTGATCCCGCTGATGACTGTGCAGATAGTGAATGGATCAATGCCAATCTTCTTTTCTTGCAATTAGTATGGACTTGATCGTCTCGGGCGATTGTTCCAGTGATGCCACATTTATGAACACGTCATGGAAAGACGTATCAGCATATGTCTCTCCGTGCTAGCGATTGGACTTGGATGGTCGGAAAAGAAATTACGTGCACTCTGTCTTGCGTTGCATGTTGTCTTCCAAACATTCTCGAAACTCTGCATTCATCATTGCATGTCAACATTGGCAGCCGCATTTTTGATTTGTGTTAGATGTTGTCTTTCGAGTGTTCTCGACTGTCAGCATTCATCTTTGCCTGTCAAGTATTGGTCCGCATATTACTTATGTGCGCATGAACTTCGACAGTCTCGTCGATCATGTTTGTGTTTCATATGTTTACTCTCCCGCAGCACGCCTGACCAGCTCACGAACTTCCTAAGTTTTGTCTTTTGTGCGTCCATCGTTGCTCATGTCTGAGTCAGTGGGGTTGACTCAAGAGATCGAGATGGCGATGGACGCCGACTATCCGGATGGAGCACATCTCCAAGCCTCATCGCCCGAAGTGCAACCGCCCGAAATCGATGCGCCTCCTGCGAAGCGTCTACGTGGTCGTGATCTGTTTCTCGGACGTATGTTTCCAGCTTTCCAGTATTCGGATTTCTCTAGCCATACAGTTTCGTATTTCATGTTGTTCATATGGCTGTGGCATACCGCTTCATAGACTTGAGTTGTCTCCTGCTTTTCTTTCAGGTTCCGTGCGTTTTCCGATGTGCAGCGCTCTGCCCATCTCGCTCCTCCTCCTCCTGATGTTCGACCTGAACAAGCCAAATCACTCTTGGATGTATGGAAGAACTATCGCACATGGGGTAGCAACAATTATCCAAATCTTCCTGTCCATGTTCGCACAATGATGGAGCTCATGAACTGCATCGCATCCATGAATGTTTCCAACTACCAAATGTCGACGAAGCAGAAGCTTCTTCTCATTATGCTTGTTGATGGTGAACACTGGCGTGCACATGATCGTCAAATGTTCTACTATGAGAATGGTGTGTGGAAGATGAAGCCGTCTCTCACCATCGAAGTCTGGGATCTATTTCTTGCTGTTGAAGGTTTGTTGTTGACCGTCTCGAAGCACTTCGAAGATCAAGAAGGAGATGCAAGACCAGCATGGAATTGGAATGCTATTCGGGATGTTGTCTCTGATACGATCCAAGGACATGTCCATGACGCTCTCCATTTCTTCGGGAATGTGGCCAAAGAAGCAAGTGACCATCTGCGGCAAGTCACATCCAACAAGGCATGGAAAGCACTTTGGCTTCGTCGATGTGCAGACATGCTAGCTTCATTCCGAGTGAATTGGGATTCGAACAAGGTCCAGTCACTCTCAAAGCTTTTTCTTCTTGAATGGGATACTCCATTGCCAAAGTCACAGGGTGTTTGCTTCAGAGACGTGTACTTGGATGCAGATTGGAAACCTGCAAGCAAAAGCCCGTCCAATGACTGCTACATGCATGTGGACTATGCCTTCTACATAGAAAACCTCTTGCAGGAGTATCCGAACATCAATCTCCAACAGCATCAAGAAGGATTACGTTTGTTCTTGGAGTCGCTCTACTTTCAGAACGAACATATCTTTCAAGTGAAACTTTGTTTTTTACATGCCGCATTCAAAAAGGCTTGCACTTCAAAGATGATCTTCGAGATTGGCAAAGGCGGCGATGGCAAGGGGATGGAAGCTTATCTTGATCGTGCTGTATTAGGTGAAGATCAATCTGCAACTTTGGATTGTGGCGTGTTCTTGGATCGACAGGAGTTCCGCAAGTCTGCCGAGTTCGCATGGAACAAGGCGAATGTGCGTATCCAGGAAATGGATCAGCACGCAAGATTCGTTGCAGATCTTTGGAAAAGATTCATCGTCGATGAAGAAATAGATTGTCGTGTCAATTATGGATTTACATCCAAACGACGATTTGGGTCATCTATGAAAGTTCAGGAACTCAACTTTGAGAACATCCCGACCATCGAGGAGTGTCGAGATCGACTCCAGGCTTGTGAGCATCTCAAGCGTCGCATCGTTTGCTTTCGTATGGGGAAGGCTCGCTTCGTGCTTGACGACCATGCAGTGAACTATGAACACGGGGTTTTCCGTCTCATTCCGCAAGATGAGCTGGTCCCTTTCTTGACACATCCTGCAACGGCTTCATGTTTCTTTCGAGATTGGTGCTTGCCCTTCTTTCAGGAAAACTCTTTGGATGAATGTTTGAAAATGATCCTGGATCTTAGCCATGTACATGAGGACTTGGTCAACGACACCAATTGGTTGGCTTCTCGCTTGTCCGGCTGGAATGGCCCTCCTCCAGGCACAGACATTGACCTCCAGACAGAGAACGACGAATTGATCACGATCGTGCATCGGAAAACGCCCATGAAGACATTCATCAAGGAGTATCTCATTTCAAAGGTTGAAGATATTCCAGGAGCTGTGCAGTCTACCCGTGGTCGACGAACCAAGTTGCAGTTCTTTCTTTCTGCCTTGGATCACTCCACCATCAAACTCTTTCGTCAACATGATCAGCATGCTTTCGAGAAACTCTTGGTGGATTGGGCTTCTTTGGCTGCAGCTATGGATGCTCATGGTGGTGCGCTTGCTTTCGGTCAGTGGAAAGATTGGGGCTGCACCTTTGATCTGCGGCATCTGCAGCAAGAATGGGAGTCAAATCTCTTTGTGGACTTGCAAAATGAATGTCAAGGAAATGTCACTCATCACGGAAGTCTCTCATCTCAAATCCGGCCGACTGTAGCAACATTGCAGGAAACAGTGGACTTGGAGGCTTTGCAAGCCTACTTGGAAAGTGGCTCAGACAGAAGGACTTCGCAGCTTCGGGCCTATGTTGATCGTCATGCTTCTGAAGGAGTTCGCGTGGGGCGCTTTTCTACTATCTCTGTCGAGTACTACAAGGCCCCCAATTATGGTCGTTTACTTGCTCGTGGCCCTGCTGCACAAAAACTCACTCGAGAAGCTCGTGGAAAAGCCTTCCCCCATGCCATTGAGATTGATGCAGCTTGTTGCCATCCTCGTCTTCTCTTGCGAAAACTTCGAGATATGGGATTGGACGAGGCAGGTAGTTTCCAGATGCTTCGTCTCTTCTGTGAGAACTACAAGTCATGGCGGTCAGTTTTGGCTCAGTATCTTTGCGTTGATGTCCAGGAGGCAAAAAAGGAACTTATCCGCATCTTCTACGGTGGCAACCCGCGTTTCGATATTCCATGGCTCCGCAAGCTTGGGGAAGAAGTTCAGGCAGCTGCTCATCTGATTCTACAAGATCACAGACATACTCATCTTTCTGATTTGTACAATGATCGCAGACATCCTGAATTCAGTCGGCTTTGTTCTTTGCTATCATTCGATGAAGCTGACCTATTGGACACCATTCGGACCCATGCGCATGTGAAAATGGAGGTTGCTCTCTTTGACGGAGGCATTGTGTCGTGCACATCTGTGCAAGATCTCTTTTGGTTGCATCGTGCTTGCGCAGAAACTTCCCACAACATCATCCCCGTCGAGATCAAAAGTGAGCCGCAAAGTATGAAGACTTTCTTGCATATGTTGGTGTGCAAGAACATCGTGAACATGATGGAAGTCGAAATTCCTTCCACTCCGGCAAACTGTTTGCTCTTTGCTGTTCAAGGTGTTGCACCTCATGTTGATCTCAGTAGTTTGCGCCAAGTTTTGCAAGACAAGCCAGAGTCCTCGCTTTCCGCTCATCAATTCAATGAAGCTTTGGCAGATGCAGACTCTGCAGCCGACACTGCTTGGCAATTGCATTGCATCTCCAAGGATGAGTTGCTCTCCGTTGTCCCAGCGCACCCGATCCTTTGTCATGAACGTTCTGGAGAATGTCAAGGACACTGGTGGTCCTTTGTGATGATTGAGGATGAGGCAAGGCTATTTGATTCTGAGATTCCTTCTTTCGAAGTGACTGCTCGATGGGAAACCTTTGCATCTGCTTTGGAAAAATCTGATGCATTGACTTTCTTCGAACTGAAACAGATGCACTTGAAGACGGAAATGTCGATGTCAGAGGCATATCACTTGCAAGGTCGTGGCCGTGCGGATGGATCCTCCACAGTGAAGTCCGTGCGAACACCCCTCAAGAATTGTGCTCTGTGTGGATCTTGTCTATATCCCAAGAGCAAACAGTTCTCTACGGCAACAGTTTATAGACTCGAAGGTCCCGAGACTGTCCTGCACCAGCCTATGCGATGTGGACAGAAGTCATGCCAAGCCTCCCACTACTACAACTTCGTGTGGAGCAACGGCATCAAGACCAATTCGCTCGATCCCAACCAGGCCGAGTATATCTTTGTGACCGCCAACACCGGGTTCCACGTCTCCTTCCTTGCTTATCACGATGCCCTGCAATTCAGAGGCTACTTGAGCAATCACGCCATCGCCTGGTCCCAAACGAACGCATTATGGGCAGATGACCATGCACATGCTCGATTTCACAAGGACTATGCATTGGCTCGTCTCTTGGTATGGATGAAAAAATTTGCTTCAATCTATTAACCAGTCTGATGCAGTACATATATATATATATATATTTAATTTTCGTATATGTATGTAAGAGAATATTCATATATATATATATATATCATTATTGTTTTCTGTTGAGCAATTACTTAATACTATTGGTAGCCCTATGTGTATATTATCAGTTTCTCCACTGTGTTTGGAACGAGTCTGTCATGATGAAACAATCAATATGTAGGAATATATATGCATTGTTCTGCAGCATTACAAACAAGGTCTTCTCTGGAATGTCATGAGCGAACTGTCGGTCATGTGGAAATCCACTATGCCAAGCACTTCCATTCAGAAACTTCGCACAATTCGCGTAGATGATCCTGTGCATGAAGGGCATCTTCGGGACTTCCACCGATGGTGGCAAACCATCGAAACTCCCCATCGCATGTCGCAGTCTGTCAAAGAGATCGCTGTCGATGGCCACGAGAAGATCGCCACAAAGTGCTATCATGAAGCACCAGCTCGCGGTGGTCGTCCTCGGAAGGATGGCCATGTCAAATTGTTCTACAACGGCTGGTTCATGGCGACACACCCTGGGACCGGAGTCATCCTAGGCCTTTTTGAGATGAAAGATCCAGAGAATTCGGATGTTGCGCTCAATCTTGTGCAAAATTTGCTACCGCATTATCCCAAAGTGGATGCAGTACTCTACGATCGAGCCTGTAGCATCTTCAAGAAGGCTAAGAACACACAGGATTTGAAGCCTGTCAAGTTCTGGTGTGTAGACAAATTCCACGCAAAGGGACATTGCAACAAATGTAAATGTTCCCCGTCTGTGGTGCCAGCAATCGATAAGCGACTGAAAAGAGTCAACACATCGATTTCTGAACAGGTGTTTTCGTGGTTCCGTGGGTACAGCTCCACATTCAACTCCATGAACGCGAAACACCAAAGATTCTATGTGTTGGCTTACTCGCGTCGACACAATCATTTGCAAAAATTAGATGACATGCAGCACCTCAATCCTTGGTCTGCCCGTAAGTCCACTTTGAAGCGAGCCGGCGTGCTGCAGAAGCCAGCCAGCCGCAAATATAAGTGTAGGGTCAAGAAGCAAGCCGTCTTGAAGAGACCCGCACAGAAATGATTTGATGATGTGGACTAGAAGATATTTCCAACATCTTCCCAAACCCAAACTCTTCCGCCATCATTTTGCAATTCCGTCATTCGTTGGTGCAATGCATCAAATCAAAGGTGCCAGAGCGGTTCCGCTTCAAAATCTCTCACAGCTGTCTCGCTCGTCGGACAAAAAAGAGAAGATGCACGCACTGAATCGTTACTGCTTGCTCATGAAATCTTCCACGTCTCAATGCCATAATCAGCAATAGATTGCAACACGCCATACAAGAAATTGTCCATGTGAATACACATATTGTTTAAATATGTATAACCTAGAACTGCTAAGACGCAACCCCTTGTAACATCCAAATAATGGATTTCCATAAATCAGAGAAGCAAAATGAAGCACCGGAAAAAACCATAGATTGACATTAACGTTTCGGAGTCTGGGTACGAAATTTCTTCTTTCCATTTGGTACTTTCTGAACCTTCATGCCTTGGTCCTCTTTTTCTTGGCCTTTGTTTCATCAGGTGGCTTGCAGCTGGTGTTCAGCTCATCTTTCTTTTCGTGATCTTCCTTTCAAGACTCCTGCAACCATATCATATTTGATTCTCTAAGGCACTGTCATATCTCCACTTCTATCGCACTGGCCTCCACTCTATCGACTAGCATTCTCTATATTGCTCTGCCATCCCATTGCAGTGACATACTATTGGCTTTGAGATCCCTTTCCTTTGACACTCCTTTGCTTTGGCATCCCCAAGATGTAGCATAGATTTTGTTTCGTCATTATTTGAATTCAAATGCGATTTAGGGTATGTGCCGCAGTATATAATTTTAATAAAAATGTTCATATTATGTCTTAACTCGATGAACTTAGAATAAACTTTGTCATATCTAGAACCATACTTAATCAGTAAGAATTTATTTGAAGAAATAAAATAAATGCATTAAAAATAACAAAAAACAGCTAAAAATGACGTAAAAACTGGGGACCCACAACGTCCCGCACTCATATAATATAATAGAATACCATATAATATCATATAATTTTATATAATATAATATAATTTAATAGAATACCATATAATATCATTTAATATCATATAATATATTATAATATAGTATAATATAATACAATATAATAGAATATAATATAATACAATATAATAGAGTATAATAAAATATAATATAATTTAATATAATATAATATATAATCTTTAATATAATTTAATATAACAGAATATAATATAACATAATATCATGTAACATAATATAATATAATATAACTTAATATAATATGATATAACATAATATAATATAATATAACATAATATAATTTAACATAACATAATATAATTTAACATAATATAATATAATATAATATAACATAATATAATATAATATAATATAATAGAATAATATAATAACATATAATATAATACTATTCAATAACAGAACATAATATAATATAATCTATGTGTGTATCCATCTATAAGCAAACTATATAGCTTAATATAATATAATGTCATGCAAGTTAATTTGGGTCACACCGCATGCAGCATGGATTGCCCTTCGGACGCGGTGATCACCGCCCAACCCCAAATCTTGGCGAGGGCAACGCCTTGACGGACTTGTGGTGTTGCAAGGCAATGTGCACCGCGCTGGACGGTGTGCCCGCCTCCCCGAGGCCGAGCGGCAACCACCGCAGCCCGCTTGGAGCGAGTTGCCGGCCTCTACCCGCACCGCATATATTGCGAACAATCGACTCGGCTTGAGGCGATGATTCTTGGCAGCGTGCTTGGATGAGCGTGTGCCATGCGGTGCTTTTTCCCGAATGCGTAACGAAGGGTTCCCGTTTATAATCTGGTGGTCTGGGGGCTATATCGCGACGTTTTTCGCGACGTTTTCGCATCGTTTTTCGCATCGTTTTTCGCGTCGTTTTCGCGTCGTAAATTCCGTGTCTATGGGGAAAGCTGCAAAACCTCGGTCGTTTTGATGCGCTCACGTCGCCGTGTCTATGGAGTAAGTTGCAAAACCTCAGTCTCTGCTTCTCCTCTGGCGTCGCCGTGTCTATGTGGGAAGCTGCAAAACCTCCGTGTCTGCTTGTCCTCTGTCGTCGCCGAGTCTATGGGGAAAGCTGCAAAATCTCGTTCGTTTTGCTGCGCTCACGTCGCCGTGTCTATGCGGGAAGCTGCAAAACCGCGTTCTGTCGTCGCCGTGTCTATGGGGGAAGTTGCAAATCGTTCTGGCATCGCCGTGTCTATGGGGGAAGCTGCAAAACATCGTTCTGGCATCGCCGTGTCTATGGGGAAGCTGCAACCTTCGTCTCTGCTTGTCCTCTGGCGTCGCCGTGTCTTTGGGGAAAGCTACAAAACCTCGGTGGTTTTGATGCGCTGACGTCGCCGTGTCTATGGGGGAAGCTTGTAGTACACAGTACTACTCGGAACGACTTTGCGCAAGCTTTGTAGTACACAGTAGTACTAGGAAGTGCTTTGTGCAAGCTGTGTGGTACACAGTAGTATTGGAACGTGTTTGTGCAAGCTTTGTAGTACACAGTAGTACTGGTCCCCCAACATATTCTTATTTTAGCTTGGCGAATTAGTCTAATTTATCCAGATACATACATAATGATACACAATGGAGTTTTTGAGCAACACTACAAGTTGTACCCTCAAGTGGTCAGGTGAATGGAGAGATCATGACAAACCATCAAAATTAAGGGTATTAGACACTAAGATGAGTGGGCAATAGTCACCATTCCAGCAACCCACTGGGGGTGATTCTAAATAAATCATTCCCTACAGGGGTATGCCAAACAATAAACCTCCTATTGGGGATGATTTATTAGTGTTTTGCGACCAGTACATGGTGGTGATTAACTCGGCTACAAGCCAAGCGATTGCATGGATCATGCTGTGAAAAATTAATTCTCTGCGTGGTTCTTAAACTGGGGATCCCTAGAACCATGGGGTTCAATACTAAAATGATCTAAGATGGCCTAATTTTGGATGATTTGGGGTACCCCAAATTTAGGAAATGTCCATCTTAATGGGATCTACTAATGGGGATATGCGGCATTGCCGTGGTAGATTACCAAGTTTTCCCCCAACTGGGTACCATTGAGTTCATCAACGCAACACTAGTCATCAGCTGGCAGGAAATAGTACCACTTGCGCCCGATCAGCCAGTGGTAAAAGCGAAAATTCTGTGTGGGAAAAGCCAGCTGACTCAGTAGATCCACAGAGTATACCAAGTCGGCCACAAAGGGCCACCCACAAAGGGCCCACAAAGGGCCCAATGGTACACCCCAGGAATCCAAAATTTTTGGTAGCAGATCATAACTTGTAAGCCAGTTTTATATGGGATATACATGCATATACCATAGAAATATAGGGGTCCATTAAGTATCATTAAGTGGTTCACATACCAGATAGATTTACTAACCATTACCAGTACATTACATACACTAGATTACCAGTTACTAAGAATATGGTTTTTGAACCGCCAATGATGCCCTTGTAGATTCTAGATTTGAAGAAATCTCCCCGAGGTCAGTGTCTGTGCGGCCGGGATCCACGGAGCAGGGGTTGGTACAACGTGGAGCAGGGGTCGTTTGCTAAGTTGGCGAACATAACTCCAATAACTTGGGTTTTAGATACATCATGGGGGTTATAGATGGACTTAATCATTGGAGCACCACCTTGTAAGGTCTCAAACTCGGGGAGACTCGATTGATCGACTTGATGAGTCGGTTCATCACTGTTCTGTAGTGGCTCTTTTATGCTCTTTCACTGGGATGGTGAAAAATGAATCATGGAATGCTTGCGTGTGTGGGAAAAAACTAGTTTCATGTTTAACATCCATGGATTGGGGGAAAATCGTCACCGGAAACCATCGATTTTCCTGTGAAACATGGGTGTTTTCGGTATTTTTTCCCTGAAACCAATCCGTTGAATCAATCCCCCCGGTCGGACTATCCCAGAATTGGACGCATCAATTTGCAGGAAGTCCCCCATATTTGGCAAACATTGGAGGTTAAAACCATCAATAAAAATGATTTTAACAAATGATTAACTTTGAATACATGGTGGTTTAACATGATTTGACCATCATTTTTTTGGCGAATGATTTTTTCAACAACTGTCATTCTATCCGGTAACTGCACTCACATCTATTTGATCATATGCTATTTGCCATTTTGTTTGGGTGTAACAAATATGTTTCTTGTAAAACTGCCACCATACATCCACTGATTGAGACTACCCTGTGGACTAGCTCGAATTCACTCGATATATACCATTTTCCCCGAGAGCGTCTGAGCGAAGGGTTCTTCTAATAGTGGGGGTCTGTCAAACATTTTCACATCTTCACATCTTCTCATCCTCACATCCACACATCTTCACATCCTCACATCTTCACATCTTCTCGTCTTTACATCTGCTCATCTTCACATCTTCTCATCTTCACATCCTCACATCTTCACATCTTCTCACCCTCACATCCTCACATCTTCACATCTTCTCATCCTCACATCCTCATATCTTCACATCTTCTCATCCTCACATCCTCACATCCTCACATCTTCACATCCTCACATCTTCACATCTTCTGCTCTTCACATCTGCTCATCTTCACATCTTCACATCACATCTTCTCATCTTCACATCTGTTCATCTTCACATCCTCACATCTTCACATCTTCACATCTTCTCATCCACACATCTTCACATCTTCACATCTTGCCCTCTTGCCCTCTTGCTCTCTTGCGCTCTTACTCTATCCTTCTTTTCTATTTCTCTCTTGAAGGCGCGGGGCAGTGCCAACGAGACGGCACGAAACGCAACCCTTTCGCTCGAAACGAGGTTCGATCGCCAAAAACTAAAGAAAGTAAAATTGCGATTTTGGAATGTCCGCGACAACCCTTTTTTGCACGAAATGAGGTTCCATCCCCAAAAACTGATGTAAAATTGCGATTTTGAAATGTCCGCGGCAACCCTTTCGCACGAAATGAGGTTCGATCGCCA